GGAACTTATAGTACTGCATATATTGTCTTTATGTGCTAGCATGAGTATGTGATTTTGATTGTATATATATAGCGGGCGAGGCCCAGTGACAGACGGACCTGGGATAAACAGATTTGTATACGGAGCGGGGCTCGATGCCAGGCAGAGCCTGATGCCGGGCGGGGCCCGATGAAGGGGCGAGGGCCCAGTATATGTGATTATGTGTATGGTATGTGGTAGTATGGGGAACTCACAAAGCTTCGTGCTTACGGTTTTTAGTTTTGGTTTCAGGTACTTCTGGTAGCAAAGGGAAGAGCTCGGGATGACTGCATTGCACACACCACAATTTTTTGCCTGAGATATTTACTCTGATGTTTTGATATGATACTCTGATTTGATGTTTGGATACTATGACTTATGTTTGATAGAATGATTTTAATAATCATGGTTTTATTTAATGGTTTAAAACGAAATTTTTGGCCATGAATTTTTGGGATATTTCATAGTGCCTCAATTATGGTCACGAGGTAGTATATATGGACTGAGTGTGATGACATAAGAGCACTTGATTCGTATTATTGGCATGGTTATTATTTGGTTTATAACTTTTGAATTGAAACAAGAGTATGACTTCCTATCTCATTCTTTGGTTGTGTGCGACCATGTTTTCGTCTGATTTTGCATTGGTAAAACAATATACTGTGAATAGAATTATGCGTGATAAAAGGGTATGACCCGTGTTGTGTTTGGTTAGCGTTGAGGGGGATGTTGATTGGGTTCCTGCAAGTTGTTGAATTGGTTGTTGAGTATCTTTAGGCCCTTGTGGTGCCGGTCGTGAGTCTTTAGGACAATGATGGAATAGCAGTGAGATTCGCATAATACCGTGAGCTTATTGTTCTGGTGGCTGGAGGGTGCTACCATCTATCGTGGACTAGTGGCTATATGATTCATATGGGTGGAACCAGTAGTCATTTGATAATATGATCTGTACTCTGATAACTATTTTATACATTATCATGTTTTGATGAGTTTTAAAATGAATGGATGATGTTTCTGTTGTTTTCAAAATAAAATTTTTACTCGGTAATTTTTGGGACGTTACAAGAGTGTAGTGAATATTAGTAATATTCAATGATTCCTATACTAACCAACTATCTTGGTCTACCTAACTAACATTATAAGTATTAAGACAATTAACATAATGATCATGTAATTAACTACCTAACAATTATTATCAAGTTCGTATTATGACAAATTTGTTAGGTCAAATGATCTCAATGGTCATGGTAATCAATTTGATACACATAATTGGTTGTCTAACCCACACATACATATTAAAGTTAATAACTTTATTAACATGACCCTATGATTTGGTCTATCTCTAGTCCTAATTGTTAATGGTTAATTTGTCATTAACAACTGTGATTCAAGCCAACAAGTCAAATTGACCCTCTAAACTCTACTAACTTGTCCATAGGCAATAAAGAAATCAACAAAAACACATATGGATAATTAAACAAACTAACAAGATAAATTAAGCAAAAATAATAATTCGATTAAAGAAATCATACCAGAACCTCAAGGTCTCATCTATTCTAGTGAAACCATAAAAGTTTTACCTCATTACAAGTAAATAAACACAGAAAAACATCACCAAGGAGTTGCTAAAGGTGATCATCGAGCAAAGAAAAGTGAGATCCTAATGCTTCTAGTTTCCTATTCTTCAAAACTTCACTCTAAGTTACTTCTCCAACCTTGAAATCGACACAAAAAGGGTTTATGAAAATTAATAATGACTTCTAATTTCTTAGGAAAGGCTGCCCCAAGGCTACACCTTGATTGTATATTGAATAATGACGAAAAGGTCGTATATTTATAGAAGCAACAAAAACACGACACATTGGGGTTAATGTTGTTTCGTTAATGCATCGATGTCTGCATTTGAGTCGACTTTCTTGGATTTAGACGCGATTCTTGCATGGAATGTACATGACACGTTTCTTCGATTTTGACTTTATCTCGAATTTGGTCCGTAATAGCTCCATTCTTGCTCCAATCTTTTCCTTTTGCTCAAAGCCATTTAAACTGTAATATCCAACTTAAAGCATATTAACTATCATTTATCTTTCAAAAAAAAAAAAAAACTATCATTTATCTTTGAATATATTAATAAAGCTCATATTAAGATAATAGACTAAAATATATGACCAATTGTGAGAATATCACATATTAACCTCAACCTCACACCTCTATGTCTATTAAACATTACCATTGTTCCAAGTCTTATCTCAATTTTAATTCGATCAATGAAGAAATGTGCAATGAGATAATAAAATCAAGGTTTTTGTATGTTAACTAGTTAAACATTCCATACTTCATGACTTAATATATTTAAATGAAGTATTCAAGAAAATTTTACTAATGACAAAAACATTGTTTCGACATATACTAATTTTTCGAAATTAATGGTTTGACTTGCAGACAAAACGAAACGATATTTTCTCAAATACTAGCAGTTATATCTCATATTAAATTAATCATTCTATCCTCTCTAATAAATGAAGGTTTTTTGCCACTAGTCATACTCTCATTCAATTTGCCAAATGTCATTTTGTGGTTATTTTGAATTAAATTTTTTTCCACATGTCATAAAATGAATTAATACATTAAAATATTATGTGAAATTTAATAAAATAGAAAAACTCATAAAATGACATGTGGAAAAAAAATTAATTCAAAATAACCATAAAATGTCATTTGATAAATTGAATGAGAGTATGACAAGTGACAAAAAAATCATTCATTTATTAGAAAGGATTGCAATAAATATAGTAATAAATGAATATTAATTTCATTAATAAACTTACATTTTAATTTCAAAATTCCCAAAACTAATCGACAACTCAGAACTCCTCTTCTTCCGCTTCATATTCCTCGTCTTCGTCATCCTCTTCCACCGGGGGAATCGGTTCAGCTAGTGGCGGTGGTGGTGGCGCCGTCTTGTTTGAACAGAGAGAAGCAGAGAGATTTCAAATCAAATCTCATGCGACGATCTGAAATTTTGGGGCAGTAGTGGAGACGGTGAACGCGTAAACCCTAATAAGGTCGATGAAATGGATACGATCAACTTACACCGGATAAACATCAAATACAATCACACACAGCCACGATGATCAACACGTGTAAAAAGAAAGAAACTAAGTACATAAAATGCCCCGTATAAAAAAAATATCCGAAACTGCAACAAATGAGGGACCATTTCTGTCAAAACCACGTAAGTTCACTGTTCATCTTGCAACACAACTTTAATATATATATAATAATTTAAAAGATAAAAAACATTTTCATTATAATAATTCATTATTTTTCTTATTTTCTTATAAATTCAAAGTTCTCAAATATTTTGACCGTTATATTTAATTTTTTTTAAATTAACCCATGTAATACATGGATCTCACAACTAGTTTACAATCACATATTTGATAATGTAATGATTATTGGGATGAGGATCATTAAATTATTGGATAAATGACAAACATGTATAACTCAACAAAAGAATTTTTGTCGTGAAACTTTTTTGACCTTTTTCAAAATAAGGAAAAATAAGACAAAACTAAATAATATATTTTTGTATTTTCTATAGAAGATAATCTTTAGAATTAAAAAGCAAAATATCTTTATGTAGTTTTTGAATTTTGTAATGTTTTGTATTTTTCGTTTTAGATATAAACAAAGAAAACCAAAAAGAAGGGGTAAATCAATTTTCGCTCAAAGAAGATAATGATTTAAGTTCCATCATACAAATACGATTCAACATATTCATGAAACTTTTCTCATCAAGAACTTTCGTGAATATGTCAGCCAATTTTTCTCGAGTAGGAATGAAATGAATTTTGATATTGCCTTCTTGGATGTGGTCTTTTTATGAAATGGTAACAAAGATCGATATGAGTTGTTTCCGAATGTTGTACATAATTATGACAAATTCAAATAGCACTCTCAGAATCATCGAAAAAAGGGATTCACTTCATATTGTAGTCATTGTCTTTCAACTAACAATGCATCCAAAGAACTTGCAAACAACAAGCAACAACAACTATGTATTTGACTTCAGCAATCGAAATGGATACACTTGTTTGCTTTTTTGAATGCAAACTAACAAGTTTACCCCTAAAAATTGACATTCTCCGAATGTAATCTTTCGGTCAAGATGACATCGTTTGAGATCAACATCTGAAAATGCATGAATACAGAAATCGATTTCGGCAAGATTCCAAATACATAGAGATTGGGTTTTAACCAGATGAAATCTGTCAAAGTAAATAGAATTTGATGGAATAAGAATATGTCATTCATGCGGTTGACATCAAATGGAATTTGTATTATGTTTGATGTGCACATTTATCGAAGGGCAGGGTAAGTATGAGATGGGGGTGGTAGTACACTCTTGGGCGTGGGGTGAGGTTGATGTATGAGGTGTGATAGATATATAACTAAAATAAAAAAGAATGTGTAAGTGTATCTTTATCTTTATAATAAAACACAAGAAATAAAATTTAAAATCATTGCATTTAGCCGAAACAAATGACCGATTTCTTGGTACTCAAAATTTAATAGAATCTAGAGAATTATAGTTCCTTTGATTTTGTCCAACAAACATACTTTTTATCGAATTTCATTCCAAATCAATGTACCAAACAAGCTCTTGGTTTATGGTTTTATAAAAAAAAAATAGGACCAAAAGTGAAGCTAGAGATTAGATTAGGGAACATTTTAGTAATTCACTTAAACTTAAATCGAAATCATCAATGGATACGTGCATGGAGTGACAAACAGTTGATGAGGGACAACTTGTATCCGTACATCTGTCGTATGATTCTTCTGATGTGAAGAAGACGCTTCTGAACGGATCTCCATGTTTCCGATGAATTTGGCTTACGAATTCGATCTTTAGAGAAAAATCGACAGATTTGAACAAACTTTATGGTTTTCAGAGAGGAACAACAGACTTCTAGGCAGAAATGGCGAAATCAAGCGCCGATGATAAGGAGCTCCGGCGAGCCTGCGAATCCGCAATTGACACGAAACAGAGGATTATAATGTCGATTCGTGTTGCAAAAAGCAAGGGTGCATGGGGTAAAGGAAAAATAGGCAGCAAAGGTAGTCAGATGGCTAAACCTAGGGTTATTGCCATCTCCAGTAAGCTCTCCACCTCTTTCTTTCGGTTATCTACTATTTGAATTATAAACTGCGAACATTAATTATCAAAATCAATTTCATAGTGATAGATTTATGGCCCTTAATGATTAACGCATTGGGGAACTTGGAAGCCCTTTATTGAACTAGAACAATTGTTTTCTTACCACGACTTATTATAATCTATACCTTTTGGGACCTTCTAGTTCTTGTAAACTTTGAATTTGGTTGGAGATGTTGATAAAACAATTCATGGTGATGTGCTCTATTAGATTGTTTCTTCTTTTGTCTGTAACTGAGGTTTTTAACCTGTAAAATAAAAGAGGAATCAATGAAGATGCACTGTTAACATCAGTGAATCACGCAACAAAAGTGGAGGGAATAACTTAGTTTTCTTTAGATTTTATATTTAAGGCTAAAGGGTGTTACATAATCTTAGAAAATAGAGTGATTCAAGATATGTTATGGAGTTTTGCAGAAATGGTGAATGGTTATTTGAAACTTTGAAACAGTTTAATGTAGTTGCTGAAGCTTTTGGGGGGAAAATGCACATAACATTAGGTATAGATCTATGTGATATAGAATATGATCATCCAAAGAAACAGAAACATAATGCATAAATGGAAGCTCCCCTATCATTTTTCAGCACTAAATACCTCTTACAAGAACAAAAGATTGGCTAGAGCCTCCTGTAATTGTCCTTTTCTTTGTGCAGCAAAAGATAAAGGTGCAAAATCTAAGGCTTTTCTCCGTGTCTTTAAGTATACTAGTGGAGGAGCTCTTGAGGTATATACCAAAACTTCTATTAAATGTGAATCTCTTTGCTGATTAAGATTCATGATCTTTGAAATTATGCAAATCCCTAAATGTGTAGCAAGCAAAAATATACAAGTTGAAGCGTCTTGCGAAGATGGAGGTAGTAACTACTGATCCCAGTGGATGCACATTCATGCTGGTAACATCTAAGAAACTGAGTTTTCCATTCATCTTATTGAGGTTGCTATATAACTTGCTTCATGAACTAATTTGCCAATAGGGTTTTGATAATCTTAGAAACCAAAGAGTGGCTCCTATTCAGTGGACCATGCGCAATCTTGATGATAGGTACTTAAACCCATTTCCCTTTTACTTTTACCTTTAATATGATATGCATGTTAGTCTGTAAATGTGTTGAATTTTTTATGCTTAGGAATCGTCTCTTGGTATGTATTCTTACTATCTGCAAAGATGCAATGGGTCATCTACCTAAAGTTGTGGGTATTGATATTGTGGAGTTGGCTCTTTGGGCCAAGGTACGTATGAGCTTTTTTAATCCCATTGTTTATGTAGAAACATAAGTCACTAGCTTTCCAAGTTATGTGCTTGCCGCTCAGTTTTTGCTGTCTTATTTTTATCCCCTCTTCAGTTTCATCTCGTATTGCTAGTATGTGCTTCTTGCCTTATTGCTTTATTGCCGGTATCTACTTGCCTTGTTTGTATATCCATACAGTATCTACTTGTTTACCCTTGCTTTATTGCCAGTATCTAATTGCTTTATTGCTAGTATCTACTTGCTTTGTTTGTATATCCATACAATATTTACTTGTTTACCCTTGCTCCATTCTAACGGTATCTGATGTTGCCCTCCCTCCTTGAGGTCGAGGGTTCAAGTCACGTTAGGGACATAGGTGGATTTAGGAGTAGTTTAAGGGTAGAGTAGATTTGCCGTTCCAAAAAATATATATATATATATTCACACCACTATTTATTTCTTCATTGTGGGCTCATGTTTTTCTTCTTATATCGGAGGTCATTAATGGAAATTGCCTACCCTAGGATAGGGGTGCCTACATCCTACATCCCACCTCCCATTACCCTATTCTTGTGAGACTTGGGTATTGTTCGTTGGTGTTAGAAAAAAGAAAGGCAACAAACTTATCTTATAAACACCTAGTTTTATTTATATTAACAACATTTACAAAGGTCTATATACACACACACACACATACACACACACACACACATATATATATATATATATATATATATATATATATATATATATATATAGAGTAGAGTCAAGATCAAATAAGAAGGAAATTTTTGGTAGGAAGGTAAGAAGTTTTTTTTCTACATATTTTTTTCGCGAACAAACAAAATGAATCATTAGATGATTCAATTGTAAGATGATTCACAAGAAAAAATTCTTAAAAAAACATCTTGATGATTCATTTATACAATGATTTTGTTGTTATTCACTAAAATTGTCATAAAAGTGAATTTTTTCTTAATTTACTTAAAAATGAATCATAAAGATGTTTTTTTGGGAATTTTTTCTTGTGAATCATCTTACAAATGAATCATCTAGTGATTCATTTATTTTGTTCGTCAAAAAAATATGTAGAAAAAAAACTTCTTACCTTCCTACCAAAAAAAATTTCTTACCGGATCTATATCCTATAGGATATAGATCCGGTAAGAAATTTTTTTTGGTAACATTCTCCTTAAGCTGAAAATCTTCCTTTAATCGATTGAAATTACCAACTTGTAGAGCCTTAGTGAAGGTATCTGCTATTTAACCCGTAAAGATAGATTAAAATGCTAAAAATACTTGGTATTAGTTGATCATACAAAGAAGAATACACAATTATATATAGAAAAGAGAATACGAGTATACGACTAAAACTAAACCGTACAAGTCCATTGTGCCTGACTACTCTATACACTTCAACACTCCCCCTCAAGCTGGAACATATATATATATATATATATATATATATATATATATATATATACACATATATTGATCAAGCCCATCTTATTACATATGTAATTAACTCTACTTTTTGTGAACACATTAGCTAGCTGACCCGCTGACATGGAAAGTTGTAATCATTTCATCTTCTAACTTTTCTCAAGTGAAATGATAATACACTTTTATGTTCTTAGTTTTTTCATGAAATACCAGATAGTTGGCGATATGAATGGCGGCCTCGTTATCACACCATAAGTTCATTGGTTTTGATTGAGGAAACCCGATCTCATCAAATTGATTATGAAACCATACAAGTTCGCAAGTTGCTTGTGTCATATCTCCAAACTCGTATTGTGCATTCTAATAGGAAACTACATTTTGTTTCTTACTCTTCCACGAAACAGGATTACCTCCAACAAAGACACAATACCCGATGGTAGTTAACTGCTTACTCGTGGGATCACCATTGTACTTGGCATTTGTAAACTCTTCTACCACATGATGACCATGATTCTTATACAAAATACCATGTCCAGAGTACCCTTTAGATATTTTAAGATGTGAGTGACAACATCGCAATGTGTGGCACTTGGTGATGACATAAATTGACTAACAACACTCACCGAAAAAGCAATGTTCGACCGAGTAATTGTAAGATAATTTAACTTCCCAAAAATTCTTCTATATTTTTGTGGGTTCTCAGTTGGATATCCGTTATCTAGATTTCAGTTTCACATTTGGTGTCACGGGAGAATCACAAGGCTTTGCATCAATTAAGCTAAAGTTATTCAATACATCTAAACAATATGTTCGTTGAGAAGGATAAATTCATTTCTGAGTACGAGAGATCTCAATCCCTAAAAAATACTTCAAAGGGCCCCTAGGCTCTTTGTTTGAAACACAAATCTAATGCACTCTTTCAAATTCTTAATCTTTAGTGTTATTACTCCTTGTAATCTTTAGTGTTATAACTCCTAGTAATCACTATATCATTGACATATACAACAAATAAAATGCAAACAAGAGGTGGATGAAACAAAGAAAACCGAATGATCATATGAGCTTCTTTGTAATCCAAACTTAGTCACCATATTACTAATTAAATCATCCGAACCAAGCATGAGGAGATTTTTTTGAATCATACAAATATTTTTTTAGTCTAGACTTTACCTAACCACCCAAGCAACAAACCCAACAAACCCAGGTGGTTGCTCCATGTAATTTACTCTATAAGTCTGATAATAACCTTTGGCAAATCGTGCCTTTAAACGAGCCATTGATCCATTTGGATTAATCTGTATAGTCATCAATTTGCAATCAATTGCTTTTTAGTGAATAGGTTATTCAACCAAATTCCATATGCCATTATAATCAAGGGCATTCATTTCTTCAATCATACTAGCACACCATCTAGTATGGGCCAAAGCTTCACTATAATTTCCGGGATCAATATAGAGTCTAATATTGCCACTAATGAACGAGAAGAATCAAAGATATAGAAAGATTATCATAAGAAACTTATGACACGATAGGGTTAGTGCATGAATACTTACCTTTCTGAAAAGCTATAAAAATATCAAGATCTGAAATTTCTGTAGATGAAGTTGCCAAGTTAGGGCTTCATCATGTGTTGTATTAGAATCATCATTAGTTGAACCTACAAACATAGGTGGTACTAAATCGACAATTGACGTAGGTCGTCGTTGCCTATTATATACTTGAATCAATGGTGTCCTTGCAGACTCCGATGACATCTTAGAGTTAGATGGTATGGAAAACTCTACAATCAAGTCGGGATTAGGTATAGTATATACCAACAAATCATCATTGTTTCCTTGATTATGGGAGGCGGTCATCGGAACGAAAGGTATTTTCTCCAAAAAAATGACATCTCATGAAATAATGTATCTTTTGAGTATAGGAGAAAAACACCTATAATATTTCTGAAAAAAAGTATATCCACGGAAAACATTCGTAAAGGACTTAGGGTTGTTTGCTTTAAAAAATTTGAATAGACTTTAATGCATTTGAATTTAAAATGCTATAAAATACATTGCTTGGTTTAAAATTAGATAGAATTATAAAATCCTTAAGGATAAAAAATGTTTTATGATCTGCGTTCTCTTCTCTTTCACCGACATAAACAATTCATCATCACAAGATCCGTCTCCGTTCTCTCTGCATTCATCGGAATTGATTCAACTTTCTCTTGCCCTTTCATAGAGATGCATTAAACATCGTTATCGTGCTTCTCAACAGGAAGTTTACGATTATCAACCGAGAATAAAGTGGGATAATTAATTCAAAGACTGATGTTCTTGATGTTAGGAATTAGGATCGTTAGGTCTATCAATAGAAGATGTAGAATGGGTTGGTTTATATGTATCATGTCCTTTACAACTATATTCATACCTATCTTGACGTAATCCAGATAGGTGTATGTACTCACACCGATTCAACCCTCTTAGAAACCCTTCACCAAAAATTGCAAATCAAAGATGTGTCTTTGGTTTCAAGGAATTAATTTTATGCTGATATCTGTACACATTTTAGATCGTTTGTTGACACAACCAAAATTGGGTGGTGTCCTCGTAGTCATCACCTAGAAAAAGTCAAGGCTAGATCCTCAATAGTGCAACTTTGGCATTGTATTCAAACTACTAGATATGTATGATTATCGTTCCTTGATTATACCTACTTTAGATTGATTTATTATTGGATTTGCTTTATATTAGTCCAATTTGGTATCTCGCAGGTCTACGGCAAATAAGTCTAAGTCTTGTTTGTTCTTTGGTATTGATAATCATATTACAAACTACACACTTCAATAATGCATTGTGTTTTTTTCATTTTATTTATGCCTGTGGAAAGATTAGTGGAAGCAAATGATCAAGAACTCATGTGCTATGCCCTAAACTAAGATTTTAGTTATTAGTGGAAGCAAACAATCAAGAACTCATGTGTGATGCCCTAAACTAAGATTTTAAAATGATTTTAAATATTGTTTATAAAATATAACTATTATTTTGTAAATTATATATTATAAATAATAAACAAATCTTTATAAGAAAATTAGATAAGGTTAGCATAAACACATTCCAACTTATATTTGGAAAAATATTTATAAATGGTCCCTATGGTTTCCAAGAATATCAAGTTTAGTGCCTAATTTTTTTTTGTTCTCATGGAAGGTCCATGTGGTTTCAATTTCTATCGTGGTTCTCACTCTTGAATGACCTTTATACCTTTTTCTTTATATTTTATCCTCATTTACATGCTTTTAATATAGGGAAAATGACATATATGTCCTATTATGTTTCTAGGGTTGACCCATTTAGTCATTTAACTTATTTTGTGGCTTTATGAGGGAACGAAGTTGTTTTTGTCGGGTCGATTACATCCTTTTGACCAAAGTGACTAAGTCACCCGGTTATCCCTTTGCCATATTGACATTTGATGACCAATTTTCCACATTTGACTTTCAATTTTCCTAATTTTGACTATTTACATTGATTTTTCATTACTGAAACTTAAGCAGTCGAAATCAATCGAAAATTC